GATGGACAGGTCCATACCTTCAAGGCTGCCGAGGCGTCGAAAACAACAAGAGCAAAGGCTGCCGCGTGGCTCTACCACTGTTAAAGATTTTGTTGTCAGGAAATGTGGCAGAATTTATAAATTACGTAATATTATTTTCAAAAAGAAGGAAGTTGAATTTGATTTAAAGGTAATATGTAATGGATACATGGACTTTAATAGGTTGAGACGTTAACGGTAACGACAATACATAATGTATTTTTTGATAAAGTTTGTAGTTATCAATAATTAAAGTTTACGAGATGAACTGTACCCGGGGTAAAACGTCAGAAGAACAAATAAATGTGAATTTTGATTATCCACCTCGTCTGAGGTACACGCATTTTTGAGTATCCACCCTAGGGTGGATCTTTTAGGGTGTATAAACGAAATAACCCTGTTTAACTGTGGATTTTGATAGGCTGTAATGGTAATGGAAGAATATTACTGAGCAATGCAAAAGGAAACGAATCGTGGATGCTAATAGATTCGCCAATTGCACTTTTAAGTTATTGTCTTGATCGATAGTAAGAAAATCATCGTGAGGAGACTTATACGTTTGAGGAATAAAATATTTCGAGGTTACGTTGTGAAGTTTACTGACACGCAATGGAGCAGCGCGGAAAACTAATCAAATCAAATGAAAAACATTTATTTTGGATTCTTCGTCCACAGCTGGTCCATAGTAAACAAGCATCCACGACTTCATCCGCCACCAGGGCGGCGCCACCTTAGAAATGAGGTGAAATAATAAATACAAAGGACAAATATAAGGCAGTTGAGGTACAAAAGTAAATATAAAAAGAATATTAAAAACGTACTAAACGTTTATATACTTGTATTATTAATCCAAATAAGTATATATGTGCCCGTATATATATATATATTTTTTTTTAGTTAGGTGTTCACTTCTTTTTAATGTATTTTGTATCTATCTGCTTTATCATAATGATTTTTTTTTATTGTAAGTGTATAAATAAGTCTACCTATAAGAATACCTAAACATAATGTTTGTTTTGAGTATTTACTGCTATTTTGTTAAGAAATGGCCAAATAAATATCTCTTTCTTTCTTTCTTTCTAAATATTTGATTTGAGAGATTTCATAGCGGGTGAGCTAAATTGAAGAGATTAATGATTCTTTCTTAAATATTAGTAGTATTTTATACTAATTAGATTAGAAATGGATAAACTACTACTGATATTTAAAAAAGAGGAAGAAATTAAAAAATTAAAAGATACAGCACTACGACATTGTTCCTTGTATGTACTTGTACATACACTAGAAACTGAAAACTTATTAATTAAATCTCAACTTTTCATCGATGATAATACTGTGCGACCAACCGTGTAACTAACGTATTCAGCTTAGTATCAAGCATCGTCACTTGACACTAAGGTGTATCTGGTGAGCGTAAGACTAGTAACCCTCGCACAAATGACAGGAGCCTGCAAATTGTAAGTTTACTTATTCTGCGGACTGTAACTTAATTTTTACTATAATACGTTGTCAACTCCACTCAGTTTCCACTAGCTAGCTCTGAACAAGGACGGGCGGCGGCGTGCGGGGGCGGCCGCGCTGCCTAACTATAAATTACAAGGTCACCAATTAAGATAACACCGGCCCGGATACGCTCTGCCTGCCGAGAGCTACGAGATAGTTATGACTCCTAGCTTTGTATACGTACATACACATAGCTTCACAACTGTTATCCTCGAGGGGGTAGACAGAGTCAAGAGCAGTGTGGTTCTCGGACCTCGTTCAACAAAGAAAAATATAGGTTTAAATTAATAAACTAAAATGTGGGCGTGGTCGGAGGCACTGAAAACATTTTTATGGCTCAGACTAAGTAAGTTTGAGCCAGCCTCAGCGTCCCTTCTACTAGAAGACTATATACTTCTTCTACTAGTAGTATACATTACTTCAATGTTTTAAGGAAAATTACGAAAGAAGTGATAGGTTGGTATGCGTTGTAATTGTGTAGTCTATTGTCTACACAGTTACGAAACGTTACATCTAATTAAAAAGGCAAGTGACATAGTGGTCACATTCTTTTTTGTTATAAGTTCCAAACTGATTATACTCGTAAGTAAAACATGGGACTGACTTTGAACAAAAGTAATAACTTCTAGTTAACTCAAGTACATATTATATTAAAATTATATCTAAAAAAGTCTAGTATTCTGGTATAGTATTGTTTCAGCCTGCAGACCTCTTCTATAATTTCTAAGATTATGGGTTAGTGCGTATATTAATTTTTCCATTTTTTCATCTTTTTCAACTCATAAATAGTCTAGTGCTAATTATAATGTCATCATCTTCATCATTAAAATTCCTCCTAAGCCTTCCTCTAAGGAATGCCACAAAGCACGCTCCTGAGTCCCTGCATTCATCGCCTACCTACATATCTTACGACTCGTCGTCACTTCATCTAGTGGGGGGCAGCCATACACTCTGCCTGCCGGTACGAGGCTGCCACTCGAGAACCTTTCCTCCCCATTGGTTGTCGGTACTTCGAGCTATTTGGCCGGCTCATAGCCACTTCAGCCAACTAGCCCAACGGTATGTCGGTTCCGTTCTACCGTTGATATTATATTGATCACGCAGAGAAACCCCGAGCAAGTTATGGAAAGGGCATCGATAGCTCGCTGAGCGACCTTGTACTTCCTCATACGGACAGCAGTGAAGAGGATGTAATGTAGGAGGTGTCAATAAAGTCACTTGTGCCTGGTTCTAGGTCTTTAATTAGACGATTCTAATAAAACTAAATAGACATGTCGAGTGGGTTATATTACATCGCCTATCGATAATAAAATAAAAGAGAATTGAATGCATTTATTTTTTATCATTTATTCACTTATTTTAGTCTTTAATTTAGAGACGCGAGAACATAAATATAATTTATAGTTTCTAAATATCAATAGCCTACGCAACAATCTAAAAAGTTTAATCTGAACGCCGCGCCGCTGCTACCAAAAGTCCGCCGCGACTTCACCTTGTTATTTGATAAAAGCCCGGATGCAAAACGAACATGATACAAAAATATTATGAGGTATGAGTGAACAATCGACAATACCTGGGCGAAACAAAGCAGGCGGCGTTGTGGGATAAGCAGCGGCCATAAGTTACCCGGCACAAATAAAAGATACGCGGACAATGGTGCGGTGAAACAGTAGCAACCATTTGCATATCGAGAATCGAAGCCCTCTCACGCCGCGCGCGCGCTAACTCAATCAATCAGTCCTTTACCCCTTTCCCTTACGATATAAATTCCCTTGGATTTCTCACTCGGACCTTCGGAAGCTTTGCTGCCGTGTATACCGGTATTGTCGTATGCGTTATTCTAGGTTTTGCTCTTTTAAAGAAATTCGCATATGAGGTGAAAATCTTATCGTGTTTCGGTGCCCTTTCCAATGCTCTTTGATCGGGCGGCGCTGAGCGCGGCCGGGTCGTGCCGCCGCTGCACCTGATACCGAGTTTCCATACTCAGTGTTTTAATCTTATACATAATCGTATAATATTAACAGTCTAGCTATAGATATTTTTTATTATATTTTTTATGACATTGGCTAAAAAGCTTGAAGACAAAAGAATACATCTTAAGCTGTAAAAAATATTATGTTAACAAATTCTTCACAAAATTTTTACGTGTTACATTATGATGCATACAAAGTTATGAGGATATGCATAAATCGCCACTAATAGTTAAATGAATTGAAGATCTAGAATAGTTGTAGCGTAAATAGGTCAGTTCCACTGGGGAAGTACCACGCTCTCACAGAATACAAGGGTAAAATAGTAGCTCAATACTGGGTGTATTACGTGTGATTAATATCTCTACACTCGGTTCTCTAATCGGAGGCCCATTATACTGGATACGAGATATTTCAACCATGTCATCAGGATTGACAACGTATTCAGAATTTTGAATCCTAATCGAGGATAGATGTCAATATATAGTAGATGTCAATGGGCCACAGCATCCACTTACTGTCAGGTGGGTTGTGTGCTCGTTTCTCAACATTGTCTGTAAAAAATATACTAAGAACTGTCATTCATGAAATGAGGTCTATAATAAGAAATTTGTTATATCCGCTATAATATATGTTTGAAGCCTTTACTGGTATCAGTTGTACTGATTCCTATGACACCCCCGAGGCAAATCACGGAGGTGCATTTTCTTATATCATGTTACTCATATTGCACAACCGATGCACGATATTACGTATTATGAGCGTTGTTTTATCTAACTTGAGTAAAAAAATATTTTTATTATTTTAGTTATTACTAGAAATAGTTTTGTAGGTGTTAGAGCCATGCTAATTCATACTGTGGTTGTAGCGCGAAGATATCAGTTCAGCAGGAGAAGAACCACGCTCTCACAGAATGCCAGCGTAAAATAGCAGCATAACGCTGCTGTTTTGTATAGTGAGTGTAGAGCACCGGAAACCTTTTTTACTGAAAATGAGACATTGCATCTGTAGTCATCAAGTGTCAAAACACATCTGCATTTTAATTCTTAACCTAGGATAGATTTAGATGTTTATAGGCCACAGCATCCACTTACCATCAGGTGGACTGCATGCTCGTCTGTCACCCTTGCTCTACAAGAAATATTCTGCTATTCAGCACTCATTATTCGACAAATCAATACGATTGAATTGAAAAAAATTATAACTTAATTTTAATTTCGATTTTGCTTAGACCTATAAGCTTTTTTCGGAAATTTTCACATCGTTTCAGTTGTCAACTTGTGAGAAGTAAGTACACAACCGATGATGTAAGAGGAGGCTGTCAGGCCACGTGAGCCATTAGCATGTATTTGAATTGAGTGACAAGCGGCCGGCTGCGACACTCGACAGAATATTCGAAAATATTCCCTCGGTAACGTTAGCTACTGCTGAACAAAGCTAATGGTTTTTCCTTTAGCGTTGACAAAAATACTAAATACTTTTTAATTTTTCTACTTTAGTGCATTTTTATTATTGATATCCATCCCTGTCGTTGAAGTTCATTGTGATTTCAGTTTTCTTGTGTTTACATACACAAATTGCATATGGACCAACACCAGGTACGTTAATACCACCAATCCTACAACACATGCTAATTTTACATGAGTAATCCTACTTTACTAAGTGGTAAGAGTGTCTTTCTGCTTAGCAGTCCATCTGGGTGGACACCACTCTCTTACCGCTCGTATTTCTACCAGCAAACAGCAGTGCCTGCATTGCCGTGTTCCGGTCTATAGGGTGTAGAGAGCCAGAATAAATACAGGCTTTCCATCTTGCTCCTCAAAAAAATTACAACGCTTGTACATCCTCCTTTGTTGAAAGTTGGCCACAGGTGTCCATCTACTTCAATATTACACCTGTATTACTGCAGGTATAACTGTTAGTTTAGTTTTATAAGCAGAGTCATACACAGAAAAGAAGCAAAAAAACCCAGTAAAGAAGAATTAAGTTAAAGTAGCATGTGATGTATATTGAGAACTTATATGGAATGCCTCATTTTAAGTAAAAAATGATCTCCGGTACTCACCAGTCACGGAACAGCAGCATTAAGCTGCTCTTTTACGCTGGTATACTGTGAGTGCGTCATCCTTCCCAGTCGAGACAACCCATTCGTGCTACAACCATAATACGGCTGCAGCATGACCCTACACGTGGTAAATATACTAACTATTCTATTCCATTCATTAGAGCCTACTACGAGTCCACTTTTGCACAGCCTCTTCATACATTGCCTGATAAGAGACACATTTGGCGCGCCTGCCCGGCGGGTTTGCGATCGCAGTTATTATTATTATCTTGATTTGCCATCAAGAAGATGCTGCTGCTCACTACCCGTTCCATTTTTCTCTGTCTACCTTCACAACAGCCATAGGATAATATAGACTAGTTTATGAAGTAGGATATTCTTTACGTGGCGAACTATTAACTTACGAAATAAAAAAGTACATTTTACATTAGCCACCTCCTTCTGGTTAAGTTTATATAATGAAAACCTAGTAATGACATCAAAAGTAAATAATTTTCTCAATTAAACTGTACATAAAGTCCAGTTCCCCAATTACGGACGACGAATGTCGACAGTGTGCCACATTCCTCGCGTTGACCGCGCGAACTCCCCACTTCAACTCAAGAATTCGCTCACCGCCATGTTTTTAAATTAATTAAACGTTTGTGTTTACGTTCTTAGCAATACAAACACTTTTTACTAAAACCAATTAGTATGTGCACTGCGACGCCATTTTGAAGTCTTGTGGATCTCGCCATACAACAAGGAAACAGGTGCTTCAAAAACTGGTACAATTTTTGACATCTGCACTAGCCCTAGCTGCAGGTTCCCCAATAAAAAGCGTTATCTTAATCTATTTATAAAACAAAGCGACCATGAAAGTTCTAAGTATTTAAGTTTATTCGTATTGCATATCTTCCATATTCATACATTTCTTAATGCATGTAGAAGAAGCAAGTCAAATAGGGACGGCAACTACAAAAACAGAATAATGTTGTATTTCATTACCAACGTACTTTGTAACTCTGCTTATATACATAACCCTTATTATTTATTGGTTAATCATGTTTATCAGCTTAGTAACATACAGCTAGAGATTTCCTTACACCTTTGTAGGAAGTTTGTGTATTTTAATGGAAATAATGGCTCTCAGTCTCCGAACTCTACTGATTTATTTTTAATAAATTTATTTAATTGCATTTTAAAGCTAGTGTATACTTAAAATATTCTTACTAAACATATATATTATAGGTAGTATAAAATAAGAAACTTGACTGCCTCTTTGGTCTTGCCGTTAACGTGGTTGCTGATCATGAGTTCCTGGTTTCGAGTCCCAGATCAGGCCAAAATCAATTTTCTGTCAATAAATTTTCAGTAGCATACTCAGTTGACAGTGTTTTTAACTTCGTACCTCGGTCAGCACGTAAAGCCGCTGATCCTGTACCTGATCTCCCTCCGATTGTGTTGGATTTTCTTCCCAACGGACTGTGAGAGGGAGGAAATAGAGATTGCACCTGTGCACGTACACTCGGGGACTTTAATACTGTCCTTCCTCCTCCGTTAAGACTGGCCGCCTTAACCAAAATTCGCTCTGGAGGACATCATTATTTATTAAAATTAAAATTATTTATTAAGTAATCAATCATACTTGCTTAAAGGTCTCTGAAAAACAGCCACGGCCACTTTTAATATGGTCGAGGTGGGCGATGGTTGCCACATGCGTCATACTTGTGACCAGGTACTGCTTGCGAGGGCTGGCCTGTACGAATTCACTAAACACTGATAAGTTTAAACTCTTCGTCTTTTTCGAGTACATCATAGAACATACTTTAATTACAAATGGGTATACTGTCGTTTTCCATTCTGTATATACTATGCTATCTATGTTGTTTAATTAATTTATTATTTTATTGAATGAGGGTGACAAACGGGCAAACAGTCAACGTGAATGCTGTTTCCCATAGATAGTCTAAGATCGACCATCAACGGTCTGTTAACAGGATGAAAATTATTTTTAATCAAATAAAATATGACCGAGAATGGGAGACCCTTTTTACTGGAAACGAGGCACTCCATCTTAGTCCTAAAGGGTGACAACGCATCTTTTTATTCTTATTTGAGGATAAATGTAGGCGCCAATGGGCCACAACAACCACTTACCATCAGATGGACTGTGTGCTCGTTTGTCACCCTTTTCTATAAAAAAATTGTGAGCATATGCGACTATTTCTAAAATCACACAGTGATGATTGGTAGAAAATCTGTTATCCTTAGTAGAATAAGTACAGATTTAACATTCGTCCTCCTGTCAAACTCACGGCAATATTTTTTTTACAGGTGAAGAAAGCAGCAGTTTCTCATTATCATATAAAGGATTGTCCGCAACGGTGTCCGTGTGCAGCGCCGGGACCGAACCCGGGCTCGCGGCAGGACTCGCAGGCTTTTTGTCCCGCGCCAGCCCCAGCCAATTCCCGAAATGGTCCGCGCTGATGTTTAATTCAATTGATTCCATTAGCGTTAGTTTTTCAGCGTCGCCGGGTCACAATACATATGTATGATGTACTCTAATAAATTGGTCGGAGCCGCGTTTTTAGATATCCTCGCTCCTATCTCGGCCGGCTCACGGAGCAGGACGACCTTGCGCTGACTTCCCTAGCAGCTTTACTCTAACCTAACGAAGCCTTTTCTTGCTGTACCATAGACTACAGACATTTAACACAAATGAATAAAATTTATAAACAATTAATTAAATTCGACAACAAAAAAAATATTTCCCTTTTGTATGTTGTCTGGGAAAAACCTGCTGTATTATGTTATTTGTTTTTTTTTAGTGTAGAATAAAGGGTATTGTATTGTATTGTATGTGGCATCGAGCTAATGGGGTCTTAATCTGTATTTTGATTCATTTTTGTTTTAATAACTGATGGCTCCGTGGTGCAGTGGTTTAGTTTAAAGTTGCGGCGCTGGGGACCACGGGTTCGAATCCCGCACAGAACAAATATTTGTACGGTCTACTAAAGCCTGTTCCGGATCTGGATGTTTGTCCTTGTGCAATCTATGTATGTAAACTACCTCCACGATACAAGAGAAAAAATCCCCGATTGAGAATCCAAATTCAGATGCGTTGGCACCCCTGAGGACAAAAGTGGAATACCCCGTTTCCAGTAAAAAGAGTTTTTTATTATTTACACTCACCATAAGAAACACAGCAGCATTAAGCTGCTATAGTACTTCGTGTTACTTCGTAGTTCACCTAATGGTAAGTGAATGCTTTTACCCATAGAAACCTTCACCTACGCTTCTTCCTAATCTAGCCTTGATTCAAAGATATTTCTACCTATAAAATATCTTTGCCTTGATTATTATGCAGATGCGTTATCACTTCTGAGGACTGATTTGGAATGCTTCATTGCCATAAGTGGTGTCCGGTTCTAGCCACTCACCAAATGAAACCCAGGAGCATGACGCTGCTATTTTACGCTGTTCTTTGAAAGCGTGCTACTCTCGTAATAGAGTAGTATATTTCATGGTGTGATGCTTCTCCTGACGAGTCGACCCATCAGTGCTAGAATCATATTACAGCTGCAACTTGAATATATCTTATTTTATTATTAACGTAAATTTCAATGGTACTATTTCATTACTAACTACATAGTACTTTTTAAACACTTAGCCCACTATCAACAGCAGATCACGCGCAATAAAATCGAGCAGGCGGCGGCGCGTGCGGCCATTAGAGGGCCATCGTACGAACAAAAAACGCGGCGATAAATCAATGCGACAGACGCGGAAGTCCGCGTACACAACTGCAACCTATCACTGCATTAACCTTCTGTCAGGAAACTAGACAGCCCGGAACATAAATTTTCTTTTCAGATTAAAGTTTATTTCGATAAAATCTACAGAGCAAACAAGGAAACTCGGCCGACTATCCTAATTCATTCATTAATTCAATACATTTTCAATGTTATCAAACTCTAAGCATAGGCCCTGTAGCTTTCTTCATGAGGGCATTCATTGCATTTCCCATAATTGTCAAGCTTGGCAGGCAAATTGGCTTGGTTTATTGTCTAGTTGTCATTAGATTGTCATCTTTCGGGCTTCTTTCTGTCGACTCTTACTGTGCTTGCGAGACGACATTGGATAGCGAGTACTCTCACGCCGCCACCACACGGACATTCTTACAGTTTCGCTTCTGTCCTTCCATTACAGGGCTATACAACCACCTACTGAACATAGGCCCATAAATTGCCTTATTTTGCTATAGTTGCCATGAGAAGCAGGCGACAACTGCAGTTTCTTATTTTTTGTCATTCTCAGGGAGATGCTGCCACCAATCTCCTATTTCAGTCTCCCTCCGTCGTCTCTTGAGTCGCCCGCAAGACGATATGAGTTAATAAATATTCTTAAACCACCACTACACAGTTAATATTCGCTAATAGTTTTATTGTCCTAATATTTTTAAACCGAGCTCTTAGTGCACCTGGTGGTTAATGGATACTGTGGCTCTTTGACATTCTTCATCAATTAATTCGTCGGCTCCATAGCGCAGAAGCTTAACATCGAATCCCACACGGAACTAGTATTTGTATAGCCTATAAATAATTTTCGGGTCTGGATACTTGTCCTGTTAAATTAATGTTTGTAAACTGCCTCGACGATACACGAGACTATTCTAGTTTAAACAGTAACGTATTAAGAAAATAAAATAAAAACGGAAAGATATTAAGAATTAAAATGCAGATACGTTATCACCCTTGAGAACGAAGATAGAATGCCTCGTTTCCAGTAAACAGTGTTTCCGGTTCTTTTTTTATAGCATTGGGTGATGAACGAGCTCACAATCCACCTGATCGTTAGTGCATGCTGTGGCTGATAGACATCCACATTTATCTTCAATTAAGAATCAAACTGCAAATGTGTTATTGTCACCCCTGAGGACTAAAATGGGATTCCTCGATTCCAGAAAAAAGGTTCTCCGGTTCACTACACTCACCATACGGTATTATGTGAGAGCGTGGTCCTGCCCTGGTTGATCCAACCCATTCATAAAAGTAAAAAAGTAAAGTTACAGCCTATATACGTCCCACTGCTGGGCTCAGGCCTCCCCTCATTTCTGAGAGGGTTTAGGGCAAGGAAGTGTCCGCCGCGCTGCCCAAATGCGTGTTGACGAACTTCACATGTCTCCGAAATATTTTTTTTCTTATTCCTCAGACATGCAGGTTTCCTTACGATGTTTTCCTTCACCGCCGAGCACGTGCTAAATCAGCACTTAAAATTGCAATTAACAATTTCATTGGTGCCGGCGGGGATCGAACCCGGGTTACTCGCGTTCTGTTATATTTACAGCGAGCGTTAACCACTGAGCTACCACGGCTCTACCCATTCATACTACATCTATAATATAGCTGCAGCGTGGCTCTACCACGTACTGTGGTCTCTACACTAACCATGAATATTTGAACGCTAAATACAAAAACGCTCTTTATATCTAAAACGCTACCGTATAGTGGAGTTTTGAGACTCCACGGGGTATTCAGAATTTTTATAAGAAAAGATTTGATCGAATATATATTTTCTTCGAGTAACGGTGGAATATTTTTTACCATTTGGCAAAACTACAACTTATTTAAGTGCCACCGGCGAAATTTAGATGAATTTTTGAAAAAAGCTTGTTAAATCTAACTAATTGTACGTAGTTTACTTCCAATTTATATAGCAACATTTTAAAAGTAATTGTAAAATGGGTTCGATGTATGTAAACATATGTTTTCTTAAGGCTATGTTGGTGTTTTCAATTGCAATTGTTTTAGACGCCATATTTTCTGTGTTTAGTAAAATGGGGCTTTTAACACAAGTGAGGAGTTTTGTTTGTAATCCTGTTCCAAATAATTCTTGCTTTATGTGGTCTATATCACATAGCCCCAATTGTCTATCATTTATAAATTTTAGAAGAAGCTTTTAATTTCTTTTTTATTTTATATTACACTTCCAGAAATACTAAATAGAACCTACTTAACATAGAAAATAAACTAATTCTAATGAAATGGTAAATCTTTCGCACCCTATCATCGTTATTCGAAAAAAAATTTGGAAAAAGCGACAGAGGCTGTACAGTCTGGAAAACTTAAGTTAATCGATGCTGCCGATATTTATGATATAACAAAGAGTATACTATGTAGAAAATATGGAAACATAAATTTCACGCAAGATAAAGTTGGACATCCAACACTGCTTACTTCCGAAGAGGAAAATTCATTTATTACAAAACATATACATTTTAAGTGAATGGGGACTGCCCTTTATTTTCACGTATAAAAAAAATCGCCCCTAAGTAACGTTTCACCTTTTTCATAATAAATTTTACGTTACTAAATATTTGGTCTTTTATTTGAAATTAAACTAAAAATATATGTTATAACGAAAGATTGTATATCCTTCTGTTGGTGCAAATATCGCAAGTTGTCTGTTGTTTATGCTAAAGTTAATGTTTAAATGTATAAATTAATGTTTAAATTAATACTGCTCCAAATAGAGATGAAAAACGAGGTTGGGATGATGCCGATTTTAAAAAACCCCAAACCGGCGATATTTAGAAAAGCACTTTTGAGAAATATATATCTCCGTATTTATGTTCAATACGTAAATACTACCGCATTTCTCTGGAAGTTATTGATGAGATTAGTCGTAAAGAATTGTCTAAGCTATGAGCTTATTCATCTATGTGTACAAGACTATTTTTATAAAAAACATATCAAAGAGTCCCATTTTCTGTAGGTACGTTACATAATTAAAAGCTAATTAAATGTCTTCAGTACCAAGCTGCAGCAGTAGCAGTAACGTCACCAGACTACATGTAGGTGACGCGACGGCAGCTCCCCGCGGAGACCTGCATCTGTACAGGACAAGGTCGCAGTACATGAGTTCGTGAGCAGGCGCGCCACTGTTCTCTCACTCTCATAGCTTGATGTGACGGAAATCAGTGCGTACTTGGTGCGCACGGCCCTTGTGGCTGGTAATAAGGCATTGTATACTAATCTTCAAGTGCGACCACGCATCTTTGTGTGCTTTTTGATTCCTAAATATATACGTTTTGATCTCGTCTGGGTGCGGTTCCATGCTCAAAGTGTTTTTATCAATTGGAAACAAAAAAATGTAATTAGTGAAATAATCGAAACTTACAGTTTCAGAAGAACCATATTTTACACCATTACACAATAATATTTTTTCCTATAAAGCTTCTTGTCAAATTATTCTGGTATCACAAACTAATTCTTCTTAAATATATTTTAGATATCAACACTAATTCTGCATTACCATACGTTCAATGTAACTGATTAATGTTTTAACAGTATGATTAAATTATATCAATCAAATTAAATATTTATTTCAACCACCCACTACTACAATATTCCTATTAAGTGACTATTTTTTAAACTTCCAAATGGTAGATTCAAAACATCCTTAAAAAATAGTGCATTTACTATACCTACATACAAGGACCTAGTAACC